CCTCTGCCTCTCAGGTTTGAGCAATTCTCGTTTCTCAGCCTCCTGAGTTATTGGGATTACAAGGCACCCACCACCACACCTGGCTAACTTTTGCATTTTTAGTAAACACGAGGTTTCACCATGTTGGTGAGGTTGGTCTCGAACTCCTGCCATCAGGTGATCTGCCTGCCTCAGCCTCCCAAAGTGCTGGGATTGCAGACATGAGCCACCATGCCCAGCCACATGCTTCTAGGTTGTCAGATTCTAGACCTGTTCATTGTCTTAATTTCTGTCGTCTTAATTTTTTGGAAGTAATAATACTTTTAAATAAGAAATGATCAATCAATCAGGTACAAATTTATTGTGACATAATACTATATTCTAGAGCCTTAAAAATATTTAAAGTCAAAGTCATTACTCCCAAATCCAAGCTTCCACCAGCAGATTCCTGTTTACTCCTCTTTGTCCCTAAAATTTCCAGCCATCTTCCTGGGGTCCTTGGGCTGCAGGGCAGAGCCTTTAGGTTGGTCACAAACTTTGACTTTTATAACCTGCTTATATGTCTCTACTGTCTGTTCCTTGGTTCCGACATAGCCCGAAATGACTGTCCTCATGCAGGACACATATCTAATCCATGATTACTGTGCATATTCTTTTGTTTTGCATTCACTTACTTTTGTCAAAGTTCTCACTGACTTTGGAGACTAATTCCTGACTGAGGGGGGATATGATCCAGATATAAACAGAACAAGATAATGCAGGAGCTGGAAGGGATTTTTTGTTCCAGGGTTGCCAACTAGCCCCACGGGCAAAGGTCAACAGACCTGCTTTGCTTGGCTCTCACATGTTTGAAAGAAATTGATATCATGCTCATTTCCCAGTTCAAATTGCCCTACAGGAGACCACTTCACTTGTTCACATCTAACTGAACCCTATAAGCACTGGAATCTAAGGCCCTCGTTTTATAGATAAATAAACTGGTTAGGAAGAGAGACATGTATTTGAGATCACGAAGCTGTGAAATGGCAACACTAACATGTGCTAAGCACTTATGGCAGGCCCCATTCCAAATGCCTCACATATCTTAACGGATTTAATCCTCAAATCCTGGAGAAAAGAAAACAAAGGCGCAGACACTGTGGGCTCAGTGACACACAACCGGTTTGAGGCAGAGTCAGCCAGTTCCAGTGTGGCTTACTCTTTTTTTTTTTTTCCTCCTAATGCTATTCCTCCCCAATCCCCCCACCCCTCTTATTACTCCCCGAGCCCCCAACCCTCCAAGCCCCAGTGTGTGATGTTCCCCTCCCTGTGTCCCTGTGTTCTCATTGTTCAGCTTCCACTTATGAGTGAGAACATGCGGTGTTTGGTATTCTGTTTTTTTGTTTTTTAAATTTAGGGGAGGATATATTCCAACTTGGGGGAAGGATGAGGCATTTTAGCTCTGAAGCCCAATCATGACATTTCCAGCGAGTTCCGCAGTGCCCCGCCTTGGACAGGACGGGATGGAAGAGCCTTTTCTGGACTGGCCGGATTCCCCAGCGTCAAGCTGGCAGTGCTCCTGAGCCGCCTGAGTGTTTATCGACTCAGCAGGTCAAACGTCTGCAGATACTGGGTGGAGCAGCCGTAAGCCACAAAACTGACAGTTCTCCTCCCCTGGTGCAGCCCTGCCATTGACGTCTCTCTCAAGCGAAAAAACTCGGGGTAGACGACGGTAAACATAGGCTCACTACACCGATGACAGTGCCCCAGAGCAGCAGCTCCAGGAGACTTCTGGGTAACGAGGTTGGGCACAGAAAGTTCAAACCTTTCATAGAGCTGTGGCAGGTGTGATGCAGACTTCTCATGGCCAATTCCTGCAGAGGAGGACGTGATCACGCTCTGTCCCTGTGGCCTTCACCTCGGCTGCGAGGAAAATGGTTCAAGGCCCTGATGGAAAGGAAAGCGGCCGGGCGCAGTGGCTCACGCCTGTAATCCCAGCACTTTGGGAGGCCGAGGCGGGTGGATCACGAGGTGAAGAGATCGAGACCATCCTGGTCAACATGGTGAAACCCCGTCTCTACTAAAAATTACAAAAAATTAGCTGGGCATGGTGGCGCGTGCCTGTAATCCCAGCTACTCGGGAGGCTGAGGCAGGAGAATTGCCTGAACCCAGGAGGCAGAGGTTGTGGTGAGCCGAGATCGCGCCATTGCACTCCAGCCTGGGGAACAAGAGCGAAACTCCGTCTCAAAAAAAAAAAAAAAAAAAAAAAAAAAAGAAAGAAAAAAAGAAAAGGAAAGCACCACAGCCACTGCACCCGATGACTTTATTGTACAGATAAGATGGCAAGCCTTTCAGGTTTATGTGGTTATCCACGTATACATATCGTAGTTCTCGAGATCGACCTAAATCAAGTGGCAAAAATGCACGACGGTTTCCAGCCATGGAGAGCTCATTGAGGCTGGGCAGCTGGCCGAGACGGCGCGGCACATACCATAGACGATTTCGGTCCACAGTGAGGCACTGCAGAGAAAGGCACATGTGAAGCCTCTTGGGTAAAGTTAGCAAACGATTGGTGGAAATGCCTAGTGACTGCAGCTCCTTCAAATCGCCAACCTCTGGAGGTAGGAATTGCAGCTGGTTATTAGCCAATCGAAGATGAGGTAAAGCTCGCAGACGACCCATTTCTGGGCAAACGATTTCTAAGGCATTGTTACTAAGATCCAGATATTGGAGTTTTACAAGGGACCCAAAGGCTTCTGGTACCACGACTGTGTTATTTGAGTGCAGGTATAGTTCCTGGTTTGGAAGCTTCTGAGCAAGGTTTTCTGGCAAGGTTGTCGGGGAGTTCCTTTTCATATAGAGTCTCTCCAAGTACTGCAGTCCCTCATCTTTCAGTAACTCCAATGGAAAATGGTGCAGATTCCTATAATTTAAGAATAAATTCTTGTGCTTTTCCAGCCTTGCCACAGAGATCGTCTTACAAAGTTCAGATGCCATGACTGAATATATCCCATCAGGCATGCTTGTAGCATTACATCTTGTTAAAACTGGTCCATTTCATAGTTCCATCGCAGTGGACTGGTGCACCGCCGCCCTCAGCGCCCGCAGAGCCAGCGCTCCGGAGCGCAAGCGGCCCTGGAAGGCTAGCCGGGGACGGTTTTCTGCTCTTGTGTCAGTTTGCTGAGAATGATGGCTTCCAGTTTCGTCCGTGTCCCTGAAAAGGACATGAACTCATCGTTTTTATAGCTGCATAGTATTCCACGGTGTGTATGTGCCACATTTTTTTTTCTTTCCTTTTTTCTTAATTGTATTTGGGCTCTGGGGTCTGCGTGCAAGTCCTGCATCCTGGAGGATTGTTGCATAGGTATCCATGCTCTGGTGGTTTGCTGTCTCCATCCCTGTGCCGCCCCTCCACCACCCCCATCTCCTACATCAGGCATTTCACCCGGTGCTATCCCTCTCCATCCTCCCTGCCCCCCTTCGCCGTCCCTCCCCTCTCCTCCCCTCCCCTCCTCCCCTCCCTCCTCCACCTCACCCTGTGAGTGTTGTTCCCTTCCCTGTACCCAAGTGTTCTCATTGTTTGTCACCCACCTATGAGTGAAAATATGCGGTGTCTGGTTTTCTGTTCTTGTGTCAGTTTGGTGAGATCATAGTTTCTAGAGTCATCCGTGTCTCTACAAAGGACACAAACTCGTCGTTTTTTATGGCTGCATAGTGTTCCATGGTGTATATGTGCCACTATTTTTTGTCCAATCTGTCATTGATGGGCATTTAGGTTGGTTCCAGGTCTTTGGTGTTGTAAACAGTGCCACAGTGAACATACATGTGCATGTGTCCTTATAATAGAATGATTTACAATCCTTGGGGTATATACCCAGTAATGGGATTGCTGGGTCAAATGGAATTTCTATTTCTAGGTCCTTGAGGAATTGCCACCCAGGGTGGCTTAACTCTTCCCATCGTAATAAACTGCCATGAGTGGCAGCTGGGGTCATATAAATGGACACAGCTCAGGAAACAACAGCTACCTGAATTTTCCCTTTCTCGCATCAGATGCTCCTCCAGTCTCAGCTGAGACTGGCTCCTGGTTCTTAATTCTCAGGATAAAATTTCCCAGAGCATGGTCCCGGTCCCCTGGGTTGAGAACCACTCTGCCCTAGTTCCCTCCCATGTCCATACAGCGGGCCACAGAATAGGACTGCACACTACACACAACTCAGAGGCAAGAAGGGGCTACGTTCCAGCCTGTCTTGGTTCTGTGAGTCCACAGGGCCATGTCTTCTTAAGAAGAAGGGGCATCTTTTTTTTTTTTTTCAGTTTCTACAAAGGCACCATATGGGTGAGAAGGATCCTGCCCTTCAGGTGAAGCTGTGTAAACTCCTGGGCTCTTGAAGAGTTGTTAGAATTGATGACTTAGCTAAGTCAATCATCATATCCCATCCTCCTCACTACTTTAATTGGTTGGAGAATGAGCACATAACTCATGTAGGGTTTTTCCTGGCCAATGAGGCTTAATTTGGAGGCTCTCGTTTAAGGGTTGTGGACCTGTTTCCTGGTAGAGGTGAGATGGCTTCAGCCATCTTGCACTAGATGTGGCCGGATAATGAAGCTCATCCCCAGCAAAAATGGACACAAAACAGAAAAAAAAGTCCCATCTGGTAACTCTGTTGAGTTGTTGGTCAAGTTATACCTGAAGCTCAAATAGACTTAGGGACCGTGGAGTGACATAAACCAATACATTCTTTTTACACTGAAACAGTCTGGCTGCCAGTTGTGACCAAAGAAGTGGGGGATCACAGCGCATATTCCATACACACGCCAGCACACGCCAGCACACGCCAGCACACGCATACACACGCCATCACATGCCAGCACACGCTTGCACACGCCTGCACACGCATACACATGCCAGCACACGCATACACACGCATACACATGCCAGCATGCGCCTGCACATGCCTGCACACGCCTGCACACACCTGCCCGCTCTGCGCCTCCTGGCTCTATGTTTGCACCACAGCTCTCGTCGTCGTCTCACAGTATGTCCTGTCCTCATTTCCTTTGCTGATTGTCTACATCCCTTCCCCATCCCTGATGAAATGAGCACTCCACGATTGCAAGGAATTTTATTTGTTTGGCTCACTGATGGATTCTCAGCTCCTAAAGTGAGTTCTTGGCTCACAGCAGACGTTCAATAAGAATGTATTGAATGACATACCCACTCAGTGAATTATTGAGGATTACTAACAGTTTACATACATAAACGAAAATCATGAGGGTTCTTGATTTAACTCCAGACTATTCCAACCTTCCAGTAAGGTGGGTGACTGCTTATCCACGCCTTTCCCAGCACATGTGCACATGCAGACTGTCAGCATTTCAGCAAGTTCTGGGAGGGAGCCCTGTTATTACAGTATCACCAAGATGGTCTTAAGTTGTTGATGCTTTTCAGTTGGAATTATTTTTAAATCTATGGTAAACATTTGTATATATTTATAGAGTGGCTCTTAGCTCTCACTTTATTTTATCTTAGTAGATTTGCTTTCTCTCATTTTTTGAATTTTTATTTTATCTCTACTTATTTGCCATCATGAGGTCTTTTTCCTCTTGAAAGCAAATAAACTAGGAGAAGGAGGTGGGCCATGGTGTTTTTTTGTTGTTCTAACTTTCACATGTGCCACAGTCAGAAAAAACTGAGAGCTTCTACCTTTATGAGATATTCTCAGCCATGTTTCCTTCGCACTTTTTTTTCCGGTTCCTGAAAGTAATACTACAGAATCTGGCACTTGTTTCAACAGGATTCTACTGTTGTTCTCCACGGTCTGGCGTTCTCAATTCCTCTATCATCTCTATCATGCATTCTGACACTTTTGTCTGTTTCTCTGACAGCGATTTACCCAGAACCCTCTTGGGAGCTGGTGGTTGCGGTTTTGCTGAAGCTAACTATATGCTTTGAAAGAATGAGCCTTTTCCTTTTGCCTGTCACTTGGTCTGAAATAGGAGATTTATCTTTTGGGTTGACCAGGCTTTTTATGCTTGAGAGGAGCAACACATTTTTTTCTGGTGTTTTCCTCTTTGACAAGAAAAGAATAACAAAGGTGTGATGGAGGAAGGAAGAAGAAGGGAAACGAGAGTGAAAGGAGAAGTGATTAGGGCCTGGGCTCCATGTCTTCCACTTCCCCTTTCTTTCTACTTTTCTTTTAGCCAGTACTCAGCGGCTGGCCTTAGCCTGCTGGGATGACAGGGAGTGTTCTAAGACTGAGGAATAAGACCCGTTGTGTCTGCTGGCTGGCAGTGCATCATGAATGAAGCAAGTGGCCATTCACGTAGCCTGAACTGCACGTCTCAACTGCATGATCTCTTCCTCCTGGTGGTATTTTCCTCTAAGCAATGTGAATGTGATCATACCACAGTCATATGCTATCATCATTGAGTCCATATTTGTTTCTTTTTACACGACAATGCAGATTCATGACCTAGGGTGTCCTGTATCTGTTTGCCAGCAAAATTACCTCCTCATGATTGAAGTAACCACCACATAAGCCATTCCGAACCTCACAGAGCAAAGAGAGTCACACAAGGCCACACAGGTAATCAGTGGCAGTGGGGGAGATGAGTGTCTAGAATCCAGGTCAGCTCTATTATACCTGCCGTGACTGTCACCTCCCTCATAAGCCAAGAAGCACTCACGACTAAATAGCACCCACTCACCCAACCCCACTCAGAAGTTGGCAGGCATGTCACCTGCAGCTTTCCTCCCCTTGAACCAGTGCGACTGCAGGGGCAGAGGAGACAGAGACTCAGATGAAGGAGATGAAGAAACACTTGGCTGTATTTCTTGGTCTTATTTCACTTTTCCACTTTCACCACTACTGAACTGGAACATGGCAACCTCTTATGTATATGACAGTTTATTAGAAGAATGTATGGCCCACATCAGCCTAGCAAGGATTCTACTGGCAAACCTTCCCATGGCCAAAGGAAAAACGAACAGGAGTTGAGTGGGCTTGTGTGGGCAATGGAGAGAGGGCAGAGGTGTGTAGAAGATGAAAGGGGCTAGAGGCTTACTCCTGAGTTTCTCCCTCCTGTCTTCAAGTCTTTACTTCTTATGTCCAAAGACCCAAAGACTCAGCTGTTTCACTGGCTGGAGATGCACTTTTCTAGACTGCCAGAGAGAGGGGAGGAGGGAGGAAGTGTCGGGTCTGACCCACAGACCCTGACCCAGCAGTGGATGCACACATGCAGATGCACTCAGACGCAAATAACCAGTGGAAGAGTGTGCTGGGGGTCTGAGCAGCTTACAGACACCGAGGAGTGTCCAGTAACGAGTTAGCAGCTATGACCCTGACTAGCCAGTGAAGTTCACATTTATTTAGTACAGATTAAATGACAAAGGTCTTGACCAAATAGCGCTAATGGGTAATTTTGCCAACTCACTGAGTAGAGAGCAGTTCCCCACACATAAGATCAAACATTGGTCTTGGGCGCACGTGAGTAAACAAGCTATTTAGATAAATTCTTCTACATTCCTATGTATTAACATCCTAAGCTTTTAAAGAATTCAGCTGCCTTTGGCCAAACCTTTTATTGAAGCTATGCAACCCCACCCCCCTGGCCTTCCAAGAAGGTTTGTGACTATTTCCTATAACTATCTTTATAACACTTCCTCTAAAATTTTTCCCACCACCCTGACTCAACTCCCACAAAGAAGGGTACTGTGGAAAGGGATGGCAGGGTGAACGTTTAGAGCTACAAGTCACTACTGTGCCAATGCTAAAGCTTCTGTTTCTAAGCCTAAAAAAGCCAGTGCAATGGGGGCCTTAATGCTCTTATTTTGCTAGGTTTCCTCTCGGAGATAATGAGCAGATTTAGCCCGGCTAGCAGAAAGAAAGAGGACCGGGCTGTGTGTGAGTAAAATCTTGATTCTTGCTCTATGGTCGGTATTTGCACAGGAAGTGTTGGCGCTTGTTGCATTCGTTGCTGTTCCAAGTTAAAAAGTCTGTAAGAAAATAAACAGACATTTAGATCCATTTCGTTCTGTTCTGAGCTTGCCAGAGTTATCTGGATGTTTTTCTTGGAGTCACAGATAAGGTGATATGACAGCTGACTTAACGTGTCAACTTGACTAGGATATGGTGTATAGTTGTTTGATTGCTGTGAAGGTGTTTTTTAGATGTGATTAACATTTAAAAATCGGTAGATTTTGAGTAAAGCAGATGACCCTCCATCATGTGGGTGGGCCGCCTCCAATCAACCTAAGGCCTTAACAGAAAAGACTGGTCTCCCAAAGAGGAAGAAATTCTGCCTCCAGACCATCTTTGGACTCAAGACCACACATTAACTCCTGCAAGAATTTCCAGGTTGCCGGCCTGCCCTGTGGATTTCTGACTTGACAACCCCCACAAGTGCATGAGCCAATTCCTAAAAGTAAATCTCTGTCTCTCTACATACATCCAATTACTTCTGTTTCCCTGGAGAAACTTAATACAGATACTAACTTTGCCAGTGAGAGAAAAACACTTTAAATGTCACACATCATGGCAAAATCTCCACTCCAGCACTGCTTTTGAGAGAAGGCAGGGGACGACATGAAGTGAGAATGAGGGGCTCTTGTGTTGAAGCAGGGTGCAGTGAGGATCTGAGGGTAGCCTTTCGTCAAGTCCACAGCTGAGGCTCTGAGAAGCTCCTGTTCCATGTTCAAGGAACGGAAAGCTTCCAAAGCCAGTCACATCCCAACAGGCCATCTGCTTATGAAAAACAGCTGAGCGCAAGGTGGAGGCGGCCTTTTGAAGAACTGAAGTATTTTTGAGGTGAGAGTCAACGATTTCCCTCCCAGAAGCCAAGCTCCACAGCATCACTTGTCATCTCGGGTGTCTGCAGCAGAATGAAGAGTTGTTTCCCGGCTGGGTGTCTGCTTGGGCCCTGACCTGCAGATCTGGCCCTGCTCCCAGTGTGTGTTGGATGGGTGAGAGCCCTGGGGTGAGGTGTGCCCCTCTCACTCCTTGTTCTTGGGAGGCACAGAGAATGGGGCCTGCTCATGCCTGCCTCCATAGGGCTGGTCACAGCGACCACAGAGCGTAAATGAAAGGGCCCACAAGCTTGTGAGTACTTTCACAGTGTGGGGCAAAATGAATACAACACAAGGCCATGGGCCAGGAGCCAGGTTGGGGAGTCTGCCTGCATAGGATGCTGCTGGAGACTGACTCTCTCATTAGTGGGCTTTTTGAGGTTGCTGTCCAATGAGCCTGTGGATAAGCTAGAACAGCAGCTTCAGACAATTAAGCACAACACAGCTCACCACAGTCACTAAGCAAGAGAGGTTACTGTTTCACTCTGCTCCTCCCTCCTCCCCAGAGGCGGGTGCAGAGAAGGGTGAGTGAGAGACTATACTACATTCCCTCTCCTCCAGGCCACAGGAGCCGTGAGCCTAGCTGGCACATGATAAGCATGCCACATGTATTCAGATGATTAGGGCGACTGTGTTCTCCTTTTCATAGAGAGGCATTTGAGGCACAGAGAAGTAAGAGATGTGCACAGGGTCACACAGCTCGGTTAGGAGGAGCTAGGATTCCACCCTGGGCATTCAGAATGCAGAACCCACGCTCGTGACCACAATGGACACTGAATATGGCATTTCTTCTCAAATTGCAAAACCCCAGTTATCATGATTGAGCGTCTCAAAGTGGACCAGCAAAAAGTCAGGAAACAGTGCAAGCTGCAATTTTCCAGAGTCACAAAACACATTTTGACATAAAGGGGAGAGTCAGAAAGGGTGAGAGAGGGACACACACAGTACAATGCTCTGGAGTTCTTTCAAAAGAGATATAAAAAAGGAACAAGCCCTGTCACAGAGAACAGGAATGTGTGCATGGCCGTGTATTGAGGCATTAATATTCTACATTTTGAATTTAAAAAAATTAGAAGGTGAGTGGGGTGCAAAATCCATTGCATTGATGTGGCCAAGGGGTATGTGCCTTTAAATTCTACCTTCCGCCAGTTCTTCTCAAATCCTCCTTCATTCCTTGTGCTTTTCTGCCTTGAGAGCCTGTGTTCTGATAGCCACAAGCTGGGTGAGTGACCATGGGAGAGGAAGGGACCCAAAGAGATGCTGTTCTCAGAGAGCTTCAGGCTTCTGCTTCCCATCCACGTAACACAGGCAGCTTCACTCCTGAGCCTTGCTGATGTCATCACTGACTCACAGAGAAAGGACTTTTGTTTGGGAACTTTGTCCAGTGGGGGTGTCAGAATCTGGGGCAGGAGAGGGATTTGCGGAGGCATCTGGTCTACTGCTCCCAGAAGCAGGTCCAGCCACCAGCCCCAGAGATTCTGATACTGTAGGTCTGAGAAGCAAATCCCTGATATCAGTATTTTTACAACGCTCCTCATTTGATTCTTTTGTGACATGGAGGCTCTCCTCTAACGCTTTCAATGTGTCAACTGCAATAAAAACGACCATGCCCACCTTCTGCTTGGCTAATTTTAGTGACAGGTTTCTCGTTACCTCCTGGGGTAGCTCATTATGTGTTTGAACAGTGTAAGGGTTCAAATGTTTTCCTTGATCTGAGTAAAAATCCAGTTGTCGGTGGCCTCTACGTATTGGTGTGGGTCGTGTTCTTTCCAGCTGAGCCGAGTTCTGCCTCAATAGCAGGAGCTGTGCTCTCAGTGGTCTGTGAAAACCCCCTCTCTGGCTGTTTATCTCTGAGGGTTTTCCTCAGAGTATGTCCCCTCATGTCTGCCGTTCGCCCTGTGCTGTTAGAAAGTTTTCTCACTCTCTTTTTCCTTCTTACAAGTTTATTCCTCAGACAACAGTAAACTGACCCCATGTCCTGCTGGCAGTGGCCAGGTCCCCCCTACCCCAGACCAAGAGCTGGGACCTCAGCCTGGGCCTATCCCAGGCTGACTTCTTGGCTGGCAGGGGGTCCTGGTGTCCCTATGATGGCCTAGTAGACCCACTGGAATATTCTCAAGTACATTGAGGACTCTTTAATATTCTGTGCTCTTGTATAGCTGGAGTTTTCCACATCACTAACTAATCATGGTTCTCATCAGGGGGTGAATTTGCCCCCTACAGGAGAAACTGCAAGTTTTGGTTGTCACGACCTGGGAGGAGGAGTGTCCCTGGCACCTACTGAGTAGGGACAAAGGATGCTGCTCGACCTTCTGCAGTGACGGGATAGCCCATGACCAAGGAGTGTCCAGCCCAAGGCGTCACCAGCAAGAAGGTGGAACAGCCTAACTCATGAGCATAAAGGCAAAGAATGAAAGCAGGCCGGGGAAAGGAGGAGGCTCCCGTGTGTGTGCAGCCTGCACTGAGCTTCTGGGGACAGGATTCAGGGAAACACACAGGAGGGGAGAACTCGGGCAAAGACCAGCTTTCCAGGGCTCATGGCAAACTCTCATTTTAAAGAAGTCAGAAGAGATTTATCTGTTTCCACCACATGTATTTCCTCCCTGTGGTCTGGGTTTCCCAAAATGAGACATATATCCCCCTTCATGGTATAGAATATGATTTTAAAATTAGTGTATTTCAGAAAAAAAAAGTGAGTGGATTTAAAGAATATACTGAGTAACAGAATAGCTGGTACATTGATATGACAAAGACTGTGAAGTGGTCACCAAGGACTGAAGGTCGGTGACCAGTGTCTGTGGCGAGGCCACTGCCCTGCTGGAGAAGTCGCTGGTGTGGAGTGGGGACGGTGGGGGCCTCCTGTGTCCATTTTCACTCTTACCAGGTAAAGGGAAGAAGCTGTGTGTGGGGAAGTGCTGAGGGGTGGTGCGTTAGAACCTACCATTACCAGGGCCCATCTCGGCACAGTGCTTGTTCCCACCCATGGACTTGCCAGACCAGGATTTGTACAGATACGTGGCCCCGTCAATCCACTGCCACTGCTGCCTCTGAAACAACAGGAGGTGGAGAAGCGCACAGCTCAGAACCCACTGGTCACAGCCAAGGAAGGCCCCTCAAGCCCCTTTAAAACATGGTTTTCATTGCAAACGTTGGGAAAGTACAGAAATGCTTAAAGAAGGAAAAATAGAAAGTCATTCCACTCAACCACTAATAGAAAAACACTACCAATATTACTGCAAAAAATAGAAATAGATGTAAGTATTCTGTCTGAATGACAGGGTCCTGATTGAAAGCAATGGGCATACGTAAAAAGGTCAAATTTCTGATCGTCAAATAAATGACATTAAAAATGAAATAACTGTATAAAATACTTGTGACAACTATGGCAGAGGATTATTAGTTTTGCTGTAATCTAGTGTTCAAAAAGAGAAAGAGCCGTATTTATAGACCAATACTAGAAGGCAAGCACATACTCATGAAAGAGCGTGAATGAATGTGCCATATCTTCAGCAGGTTTATTAAGCAGGAATTGTGGGGGGTCCCACTTTATGTCCCCTATGTTTGTTTGAGTCAACTGCAGAAGCCCCAACAAGAATCTGTGAACTGAAGACCCCATACCTAGATCTCACCAACCAGCTGTTCCTTACAAAGAGCTCTCATGCCATTTCTTACAATAAGATATTGATGAGAAGAACAGAGTTTCAGTGAAAACATCAAGGATAACATAAAAAATGTTACAGCATCTAAAACAAAGGCTAGCTGAAAGCTTTCAACTTTAACTCAGATCCAATGGAGATTTGATTAATCTGTCTTGTGGGCCGGGCGTGGTGGCTCAAGCCTGTAATTCCAGCACTTTGGGAGGCCAAGGCAGGTGGATCAAGAGGTCAAGAGATCCAGACCATCCTGGTCAACATGGTGAAACCCTGTCTCTACAAAAATACAAAAAATTAGCTGGGCGTGGTGGCGCGTGCCTGTAATCCCAGCTACTAGGGAGGCTGAGGCAGGAGAATTGCCTGAACCCAGGAGGTGGAGGTTGTGGTGAGCCGAGATCGCGCCATTGCACTCCAGCCTGGGTAGCAAGAGCGAAACTCCGTCTCAAAAAATAAATAAATAAATAAATAAATAAATAATCTGTCTTGTAACAGGTCTGTGTACACACACACACACACACACACACACACGCACACGCACTTTTTAGGTCTAGAAAGCTGGTAATTTTGTGTTCTATGATTCAGGAGGACCTTGATTAGACAAAGGTCTATACAATGGAGTCATTCAGAGCACATCCTCCACTGAGGTCAGAACCGGGCCCCTGACCTTGAGGCCTTGGTCTTTGTCAGTTGGAGGCATATCTGGAGAAGATCCACTGCTGTGTCCTTGTTATAGGCCGGGAGGCCATTCCCCAAGGAGAGGATGCCAGCCTGGCTTTCCCGAGAGGGCCTTTGTGGCCAAGTCTGAGGGTAAGTTACCTTCTGTGGGTCGTGCAGACCAATCCATACGGGCTGGCTTCTCTGGTAGCCACTTACGTACTCGGCCATGGTGCTGGCTTCCTTTAAATTCAGGATTGATGCCAGGTGGGCTCCGATTCTGTAAGACTGACACTCGAGCTACGTGCAAGGAGAGGTCCTGTTAATGATGCCCGAATGTTTAAAGCACAGCCCTCTCAGAACGCTAGTGTGCCAAGCAGGAGGGACTCACAAAGCCCCACTTCCTCCACACATCATGCTCTAAACCCCACAAAAGGCTTCCTGGCACCCTGGGAGAAAATGCAACTGCCCTGCCGCAGCGTTTGGTCTCAGAGGAAGAGGCGGTACAGGGCCAAGGTGGGAGACTTAGGGTCCAAGGACATGCCTGGGGCCCGGGTCTTGCCTCTCAGTGGTGTATGTGACCTTGACAAGTCACTTCACCTCTCTGAGGCTCAGTTTCTTCATCTGGAAAATAATTACTGCTACCTAGGACCTGTCATGAGGACTTAGTGTATTAGAGTACTGCAAGTACTCCATCTAGAGTCTGGTATACAGCACCTGCTTCAGCAATGCTTGCAGAACTGAATGAGTTGAACACACAACCCTCTTCTCTCCATTTCACCACCCAACAGGCATCTCTTCAGAGTGCCCAGGAAGAACCCTGGATCCTGAATCAAATGAGATCTGGGGCTCCGGCTGGTCCCTTGCTCTAGAAAGGCCAGGCCAAGCAGGCAGCAGATTTCTTACCTCAGCGTCAGACCAGCTCATCAGCTTCCGGAAGTAACCATAGCAATTGGCCCTATGGTAAAACCATCCAGTAGCACAGCTGGGTCTCATGATGACATCTGCACATAAACAAAAAGCGATTTCATGTTATGATCACAAAAAAATCAATTCCCAGACTTGATACAGCCTGCAATCAGGAATCCCTTGAATGAACAGTCCCCTCACGAAGATCACTGCTACACTGCCAAAAATGTGTACAGTTTACCCTTCCTCTGGCTTTTTCCAAAGGGACTGGGGACCTATGGCATTTACCAGTGTGACTGTGCTTCTGCGATTACTGGACACTACCTCTGAACTGACAGTAATTCCAAGAAAATGTCACTATGGTCGACCAGTCAGAGCAGGAATTATGGAAGTCAGGTGATCAATGAAGTTTTAGCTTGATCTGCCTCATGGTGGGTACTGTGAGCCCAGCGGGTACCCCAAACTCATGCTGTGGTTATTTCCCCGGCTCTGGAATACATACATGGAATAGACATACCTACATAATTGGAAAAGATAGACACGCATAATTGGAATAGATTCTCAGCAACTGGCAGAATCTTGTGTTAATAGTGAGGGTCAAACAATTATAATTTAAGGCATCACAAGAGTGGATGAGGGACATAAATTAGTAGTTTGGGGTGTTACAAGGAGGGAGAAGTCATTTTGGCCTGGGAGACAAGGGACTGGTTACATGGCAACTTGACTGGAACTTGCGTGGAGGTGGGTCACGTGTCAGTACTGGGAAAGGGAGTAATTTAGGAAAGGAGGCAGGAGTGTGAGGGCATGCATAGAAACACACGCACTTGAGTCTGCCTGAAGCACAGGGTGTCTGTCAGGTAACTGCTGCAGAAACAGGAAAGAGCCGGAGCCTAGAGGCAAAGGAAGCCATGATTCAGGGACGCACATGCTTTTCCTGCTGGTTAACTGGTGAATGGGTCATGTCACTGAATGTGAAGGTTTATAAAGAGGAGGAGATGGCTGGATGTACAGAGGCACCAGGTGATCCGAGGGACGTCAAGCTAGCAAGTGTAGGCTTTGTGACCATGTGGCTACCCTGGGACACCCTGGTGGCTGCAAAAGCGTTTCCTTCCCTAGGAGATGTCCATAGGCCGCAAGCGTCTCCTCCCCTAGGGGACGTCCATAGGCCGCAAGCGTCTCCTCCCCTAGGGGACGTCCATAGGCCGCAGCTGCCATGAGCGCATTTTCTCTCTCCTCATTCAAATGACACTACTGTCGCGTTTGCCCTGCTCTTCTGTTTCATTTCAGCCCCTGCCTGTCAATCTCCCAGGGCTCCCCACTGCTTTCAGATGAGCTCTCTGCTGGTCTAGCATGTGAGAGGTTTTATGACCTGGTTGTACGCCCCTTCCATGCCACAGTCCCAGCTCCGTCTTGGAACACGATGCTCAGTGTAGCTTTAGACCCCTTGCACGTGCTATTCCTGGTACCTATGAATAATGGATAATGACTAACCCAGCTAAGGCAAGGCAGGAAATGTTTCAATGCATAGGTCAAATATACTGTGAACAAACAGCAAAGACATTCATGTATTTAAATGCTTCATCTTCTACTACATTCAGAAATATGAACATAATTTTATGACAAATAAAATGCAGCCTTTATGCCATTGCTGCTGCTGCAAGTACGACTATGACCGGCTTCTGTAGATAAGGTGCCTGACTTTCCATCGTCTCTCCCTTCGTTCTGTCTTATAAGGTGCCTGGCTTTCCATCGTCTCTCCGTTCGTTCTGTCTTTGTACTCTCTGCCTCTGTGTCTCTGTGTGTCCTTCTTGTCTATGACTCTGTTTGCTGCTCTCATTTTTTCCTCCCCCTCCTTCTTCCTCACTTTTCTCTCTCTCTCTCTCCCCTCCCCCTTTCTGCCCCTCACCCTGCAAGGTGCTTTCTTGGTGCCAGGCACCTTGTTAAGTGTTTTACCCATGTTGTGGTTTTATCATGATTGCTTGAGGAGATAAGGAAACAGGCTCAGGGTGGTCATCGGCCCAGGGTCACACAGTAAGATGGAAAAGCTGCTTTGCAGATCCAGCTCTCTACGACTTAAAAATCCATGTTACTGCTGCCAACCCTCCCAACCTTTATAAATATGAAAGAATGAAAAATTAGAAACTTGGCAACATAATTATCTGGACTGCCTTGATTATTTTGTCAGGAGGAAAAGAAACATTTGCACTTCAGGTAAAAATGATCTTCTTAAGAGAAGGCTGGCCATTGCTTAGCAGAGGGCAGACGATGAGATGGGGATAGCTGGAAAGTCTGCCTTCCAACTTACTACTGGTGAGACTGTTCTGAAAGCAGGGACAAGGAGGAGCCCAAATCTCTGACCGTAGGCCTGAGGACAGAGACCCGTGGCATCACACCCAGTGCTTTTGGTTTGGTCTTGTGCCCTCGGAAGCAACTCCCCTTGGCAGTCTGGGCAAACATGTTAGGACAGACAGAACCTCCACCACCATGGTTGTTGTTTCCCCTGGATCCAAGCCGTGAAAGCATGCAGAGGACCTGGAGGGTCACACGCAGAGGACCTGGAGGGTCACACGCAGAGGACCTGGAGGGTCACACGCAGAGGACCTGGAGGGTCACACGCAGAGGACCTGGAGGTCACACGCAGAGGACCTGGAGGGTCACACGCAGAGGACCTGGAGGGTCACACGCAGAGGACCTGGAGGGTCACACGCAGAGGACTTGGAGGGTCACATGCAGAGGACTTGGAGGGTCAGAGTGAAAGAGACCCACAGCCACACACGAGCCCAGACAACCAAGCTCTCTCTCTTCTGTTTCTCTCCTTTCGCTGTCTCTCTTTGTGTTTCTGAGTGTCTCTCTCTGTCTGAGCATCTCTGTGTTCAGTTGTCTCTGTTTGTGCATCTGTCTCGGACTTTCTGTGTATCTCTCCGTTCTCTCCCCGTCCTTGTACTCTGTCTCCGTCTCTGTCTCTTGTCTCTGTGCCTCTGTACCTGTGCGGGTCCCTCCTTGCCTACGACCGTCTGTTCTCTGCCTCGCATTCTTTTCCTCCCCCTCCCCCCTCCTCACTTCATCTCTCTCCCCTCCCCTTCTGCCCCGTACCCTGTAATGCTGCTGCTATGGCCGTGATCCCCCTGGTGGAGACATTTCAGCTCCTCGATCTGCGACTAACCGCCACTCTGCTGCGCTGTGGCTCTGCCTTCTGCTGCTCCACTCCCAGCGACCAGGCTGGGGGGCAACGGCACCATCTCAGCTCACTGCAGCCTTGACTTCCCGGACTTAGGTGATCCTCCAACCTCAGCCTCAGGAGTAGCTGGGACTACAGGTGAGCACCACTATGCCCAGGTAGTTTTTGTACTTTGGTTTTTTTTTGGTAGAGACGGGAGTTTGGCCACGTTGCCCAAGCTGGTCTTGAACTTCTGGGGTCAAGTGGAGCTCCCGCCTCGGCCTCCCAAAGTCCTGTGATTACAGGCGTGTGCCGCCACAGCCAGCAATTACACCACACGTTTAGTGAGCATTTACTGTGTACCCGGTTCAGGTCCAGGCCATTTACACACATTCTAATCATCTTCATAATAACACTGTCATTATTCTTGTGTTCCAAATGAAGCAACAAAGGCAGAAAGAGAGTATCATGTCCCAGGATCCCACAGAAAATAAATGATAAAGGCAAGATTTGATCCGAGACGGACGGTCTGACTCGAAGTGTTAGTCTTAGTAACGGTGCTCACGTCATTGCTTTAAATCCTGTATGGGTCAAGCATATTCGTTGAGATTATTTTGTTTAATTAACAGAGCCTCTCTGAGAGATCCTGTGTGGATGACCATCTCCATTGTACAGAGAAGGGAAATTCCTCAGAGGAGTGAGTAACCTGCTGAGGTCACCCAGATGTGGGGTGCAGTGGAAAGTGGGAGAGAAGCCAATGTTTCCATGGTGGCCTTAGAACCTTGGCCCCACCTCACATGGTGCTCCATCCCCTCATCTCTGCACATGTAGTGTCAAGAGGTTTCAGCTTCCAGCATCTTGCCTGGACCACTCTAATCCTCTTTCTACTCTATCACTTACTGCATGTGTGACCTTAGGAATGTGATTTAGTCTCTTTTAGCTCTCCTTTTCTTGACTGTACAGTGGGTCCACAATTACGCCTTCTTCACACAGTTGTCAGGAGGATTAATTAAGATAATTTATGTACAGTGGTCAGGACAGGGCCTAGTGTATAGGAATTGTTCAATAAACACTAGCTAGTTAAAACTTAAAGCTATTAAACCCATTATCATTATTATGTAATATTTTTGAAAATATAAGCCAGAAGAAGTTTTTTACTGCCCATAAATGATGTAGCTCTATGTCTCCCCTCGCTGAATCAATGGCATGGATTGCTTCAGGGGAAGGGCAGCTATCAGGACAAAGAAATCACTGTGGAAGCAATCAGAGTTTAATGTTCACCACAAGGCTTTGCGGAGAGAGAAAATTAATTTCTAAATCCCCTCTATTTCTCTTAAGTACTGCAGTGCAAAACACATTTAGAATATATCACAAGGGAGGCTCCCCCAAGATATTAAGAATAAGTAGAAAGTCCTTCTACAGCTGGAAGAAAGATCTGCCTGGAAAAGAGAAATTGAAGGACTTGTGGTGAATATTGTGTCTGTATCTCCTCCTCCAGAGAGAACCCAGGAAGGTTAGTGAGATCCCAGGGATGGGAAGAGGGATGTATCATATTCCCCAGGATATAGCTTGGGCAGATTTCAAGTTTCATTAAGGAAGCCTGACGTTGCAGGGAACCAGCTGGCCACTTAGAAATGGCCACATAAGGCAGCTCTGCAGGAGGGGCTCAAGAGTGGCCCCCCAGAGACTTGCACTCTTTTGCATGGCTGAGTTCTACATGTCCTGAGCCCCCTGAGATAGTTGAGTGAACTGGTGTATGGTTGAAGGCGAAGAGCCGTGGGGGACATATTAAGGCTAAGCTATAACCAGGACCACAGACTTCAGCCATAGGGGCCAACATGATGCCCAGAGGACCTTGCTATTCTTCATATGTCCTTCCAAATCATCCTACCGTTGGCCAAGGACATTCCCCAGGAGGAGCAGTGCTAAGTTACAGACAGCACTGGACCCCTCTGGAAGCCCTCTTCTCAACAGAGGAGACACTCAAGCATGGATTCTTCCCTCACTCTTACATGTCCAATGCCCAGCAAGGCCACATGGGACTGTGAAAAGCACTAAAAGTCCAAGCATCAGTTAGTCTTACTGTGTAACGTTGGGCAAATCTCTACCTTTCTCTGGACTTAATTTTCCTTGTAAATAGAAGGAAGACATGACACCAGATGAGTTCACATTTCATTTCTTTCTGTTCCTGGTGTTCTGTGACATTGCTTCTTAGCTCACTCATCCAGTGTTCCTCCCCTGCTTTCTCTATTGGTGGATTCGACAGTATTACCACCCACTTTGTGGCCATGTGGCTTTGCACTTGATGCGTGGTCTGTAAGTGTGTAAGAGCCATCTCTCTAACTAGATTGCAGGTCCCTTGCAAACTGGAATCCCTAATAATGCTCAAATGATAAACCAGTGCTTAAGTATTGGGGAATTCTAATCATCTTCATAATAACCCTGAAGTAATACCCTTGATGATAACCCTGGGGAATTCTAATTATGGCTATGATTTATTGACAGTCTACTAGGCATCAGGACTTTTAAACACATTATTTCTGCCCTTCACAATAAACTTGCAAAATTAATATTACAACTTACACGTAACTGATGATTTAAGTATGGTTTACAACCATAGAGAATTGGGTTTTGTTGGATTCTTGAGTCCTTGAATTTTTTTAGTACCGGTCTTCGTTTTTCATCTCTATGTTTAAAAATCTTTTTCCTACAGGGCCTTAATGTTTTTGTGGGCACATGGATGGCTGTTCCATGTGGGCTGTGTGAACACTGGCCGTGGATCAGTTCCAGCTAAGTGACGGGTACTCACCACTCAGGACTCCCGTGTTGGGCAGGCAGCTCAGTAGTAGGAGCAGCTGCATGCCTCTGGAGGCCATCGTCTTCTTTCCCTAAGGATGTGGCTACTGCCAGGATCTCAGAGTTCTTACTGGCACGTCCTTGAAACTCCCGGGTTTTCCTTGATCTATGAATCTGAACACATTTGCACAGGTGAGAGGGACCCAGGAATCTAGATGCTAACTCACATATGGGGAAGAGAATACAGTATTTTCCTGATGAAATCCAGACTTTAAAAGAATCTCAAGTTAGATGTACAGGTTAGAAACTTTTAAGAGATTTTGTTCTCACCTTCAAGACCTCCTGGGCCAGTGCCAGAGATCTAACCAAAGCAGTCTGAACGGTTTCAGAGTCTGAATGGAAGCAATTTGTAAACCCACTGAGCACTGGCCCCTGTTAGCTTCAGGAGAGATAGCAGAGGGCACCCAAGGCAAGTTTCCTCATGGCTAAGGCAATGATGGGCTTTCTGTCATCAAAAAAATCCAATAAATGGTATTGGGAAAACTGGCTAACAATGTGCAGAAAGCAGAAACTGGACCCCTTCCTGTAACCTTACACTAAAATTTACTCAAGATGGATTAAAGATTTAAACATAAAACCTAACACCATAAAAACACTAGAAGAAAACATAGGCAAAACCATTCAGGACATAGGAGTAGGCAAGGACTTCATGACTGAAACACCAAAAGTATTGGCAACAAAAGCCAAAATAGACAAATGGGATCTAATTAAACTCCAGAGCTTCTGCACAGAAAAAGAAGCCATCATAAAAGTGATCCGGCAACCAACAGAATGGGAAAAAATTTGCAGTTTACCCATCTGACAAAGGGCTAAAAGAGTCTACAAAGAACTAAAACAGATTTACAAGAAAACAACTCCATTCAAAACTGGACCTGGAAGCAACCCAAACACCCATCAATGATAGACTGGACAAAGAAAATGTGGTACACATACACCATGGAATACTACCCAGCCATAAAAAACAATGAGTTCGTGTCCTTTGTAGGGACCTCGGTGAATCTGGAAGCCATCATTCTCTGCAAACTGACACAAGAATAGAAAACCAAACACTATATGTTCTCACTTGTCAGTGGGTGTTGAACAATGAGAACACGTGGACTCAGGGAGAGGAGCATCACACACTGGGGGGCAGTTACACGGGGTAGGTAAGGGACAGTGGGGGGTGGGGAGGGTGGGGAGGGCTAACATGGGGAGAAATGCTGGGTATAGTATACACCTAAAGTAAAATAAGTAAATAAATAAAAAGAAAATACAATAGAGTGGTTCTGACACTGAATTTTTAGATGTTTGTATTAAACATGAGCACAGTGTCGAATACCCACATTTTACAGATGAGAAAACCTAAGGTCAGCAAGCATGACGTCATTTGTTCGTGGACACCAGCTACAAGCAGATCTGACTCCATCAGCACTCTTTCCTTTACACTTAGTTGACACCATTTAAAAAAAAAATGGCTTTATCTTTTCCCCACAACACATGAGCTATTAGGGAATCAATACAAAACTAGAAAATAAATAGTAAATCCATCTCCAGGACATAGATAACTTGGTTAGTAGCCTACAGACTTCCTTCTATGCACCTCTTTCTGTGTACAATTTTATACAAATAAGATCATATTGTCCTATAACCTGGTTTCGTTTCTCAGAAACAGATTGATTGTAATATATTTTCTTGCACTCCCATAACTTTAATGCATTTTTTATTTTTCTTTTGTGTAAATTCTCATATACAGGGTTGTGGCATCACGCAACATGTACATTTTAATTAACAGAACACTAAAATAATTGGTTCCCTAAGCTCCCAGTGAATGTTTAATTTTGTCAAATTTTTGGCTAACTTTGGCATATTAAAGAAGAAACTTGGTGTTTTAAAATTTGTTATAATTACTGATGAAGTTGAACATCTTTTTGTACAATAATTTGCTTTCTGTGTTGGGTGAATTTTCAGTTTATAGTTTTGCACCTTTTTCTGTTCTGTTGTTTGTTTCCAATTTGTGAGATCTTTCTTGTATGTTTATTGTCTTTCACGTGTTACTAGTAGTATTATTCAGCTTGTATTTTTCTCATTATAATTTCTTGCCATTCTGAAATTTTCCTAATTAATATATTTATTTTTATGTTTTTAAAGTAATTTTAATTAATATTAAAAGGCCGGCCATTACTGTCACGTAAGATTAAAGTATTTATCAATGTTTCCTTCTATTTTTATTTGTCTGAGCTTTGTTTCAGCATAAGTATGAAATTGAGTTCTGGATTTCCCTCCCAAATAATTCTTAAACTGAGTCATTCATTGAATTCACATTTAATCATACTTTATGATTAGAAAGTCAAGGTACACAATCTAACTCTCAAATAATGGATTGCTTAAGAAAATGATGTACATGATGACTTTTCTGGAAAATTGATTCTGAGGTCCATAACATTGCCACTTTAAGGCAACGTTAACCGAGAATGAGACAAAGGTTGAAGAGTGTGGATGTGACCTTCCCCATCCCCAACCTCTTTTTAAATCATTGTTTAAACTTTGCACTTTGCTAAACTTTCCTTCCAAAGGTAATAGTGTATTTTCAATGTCCTGAAACCCCTTTAAAATGCAGAATTTCTCTGTCAAGATGACCATTCTGGGTGAAGGGAGAGGCAGCATCTTTTTTACTAATCTGTGAATAATTTTGTATTTTTTTTTTTTTTAGTAGAGACGGGGTTTTTCCATGTTGGCCAGGCTAGTCTCAAACTCCTGACCTCAAGTGATCTGCTGGCCTAGGGCTCTCCAAGTGCTGGGATTCCAGGTGTGAGCCACCATGCCCGGCCTTAATCTGTGAATAATTTTTAGTCAGCTGATATTCATCGAATGCCTGTGTGTCATCTTCATAAACGAGCTGCACTGTAGGTCTCGTAAACGCACGTTACAGATGAAGACACTAACACTCGTCATCGAGTAACTTTTCTGAAGTTTCCCAGCTACCAGACCACAGAGCCAAGGTTTGACTCGACAGTTTGACCCCAAAGCCAAGGCTCTTTACAGAAGGGGAAGAAAAGAAGGTAAATAGTTTAAAGCAAATGACACAGCAGCGGAAAGCCTGACAAGCCTCTCTGGAAATACAATTTGTTATTTCTGGCCTGGTTCATAGCTGATAGAGGAAAAAAATGTGTTTGAAGAAAGACCCCCATCATCAATTGCAAGGAGGATACCTGTTTGGCAGCCAAGACTCTGAGGACCCCGCTTTCTTCAGCGTCTCCAGTGGTCTCAGCCCAGCTTTCTGGACCTCTTATATCTTCTTGCCTCAGGAATTAATAATCTTTACTTTAATCATAAAGCAATTATCTGAGAAAAATAATCCGTTCATAAAAGTCTTATCTACAGTGAAATAATGAATCATCTGCGAGATGGTTTGCGAATGTACGTAAGGTGTGCTTTGAGTAGCCAGGAGAACCTCTCCCTGTGTGCAAACAGATTCTTCTCTTTACATCCTGTTATTAAAACTGACAAGATCCTGGAATCTGTTATAAGCCCATCTTCCTCTCCCCTTGTGTTATTTTTTCTTGGCTCTCTTTTTATCCCTTGGTATTGTGTATTTCCTTTATTTCTCTCTTATTTCTAGGAGGATTTTCTGTCAGGGTCAGGCATAGGTTATGACCCATGCGGTGTGACTTGATGCCCACACACAGATTTTCCTTCCTGCAGCACCCACTCCTTTCACCCAGCACGCATCAATTTCGTCGGATATCTACTATTTGAGCTTCTCCTATGAAACAAGGGCCATCATGTCAAAACGGCTTACGTCGACAGAATGCGTTACAATAGAGGGTTTTCACTTAAGTCATCAAATAAGATGCTAACAAAATCCTTGTGAGCAGCATAGGACAGACATCCCCGTCACACACTCAAGAAACCCAATGTTAAGAGAGATTAGGAGGCTTCCAAGGTTCGCGACGCTGGTCAGCAGTGGACCTGGATGCTCAACCTAGGCCTTCTAACTCCAAATCCAGCTGTTTGCTGAAATACAGTCCTACCGAAAAATAGGCTATTTGAAAAGAGTAACACGATTTTCTTTTCCCATATAGATGGCAAAGGATTAGGCTGTAGGTGCCAGAGATGAATCAACTTCAAACTACAGATTTAAGTCTGTAAAGGACCTTTATGTCCGGAAATTTTGAGTCTGGGAGGGAACACAGTAGTTATCGAATCTTACCCTTTTGCTCTGTGGGTGAGGAAACAGGCCTAGAGAAATACTGTGACTGGTTTAATGCACGGACGGTTGTGGGTGAAGCTGACATCAGAAGCCAGCTTCCTTGCTGCCAGCTCAACATTGCTTAAAACATGCTACTCAGCTGTCGTTACTAGATTTTTTCATCATATGCATACATTCACGGTAGGACGTGAGAAAGTAATGCTTTCATGGTTTACAAAGGACATGGTAAAGGATCTTCCCGTTCTGATGATGCTCTGGGAGAACAGCACGCGACTTGGCCTCCTATGGCTGTTGGCTCAGGTCTGCATTCGGCTGTGCAGTCACTGTGCGATGCTCCACATGGTACTGAGCCTTTTGGACCCTCAGCTTAGATCTCCTGTGTTCTTTTTTTTTTGAGATGGAGTTTCGCTCTTGTTACCCAGGCTGGAGTGCAATGGCACAATCTCAGCTCACCACAACCTCCACCTCCTGGGTTCAGGCACTTCTCCTGCCTCAGCCTCCCGAGTAGCTGGGATTACAGGCATGCGCCACCATGCCCAGTTAATTTTTTGTATCTTTAGTAGAGACGGGGTTTCACCATGTTGACCAGGATGGTCTCGATCTCTTGACCTTGTGATCCACCCGCCTCGGCCTCCCAAAGTGCTGGGATTACAGGCTTGAGCCACCGCGCCCGGCCAGATCTCCTGTGTTCTCACCAGCCATCCCAACGCTCACACTGCTACCTCCATGCCATTATATAAGGATTTAAAATCTTCAGGCTCCTCAGATTCCTAATCTGTACATGACGATGTTATTACTAGATGAATTTATTCGCTGCACTACTTCTTTCACTCACAAACCTCGTTCTCTTCAGGCAGCTGGATGGTAATCATCAGTGCTTCATGGCACAATGGCGCACAGAGATGCTAACTCCAAGCCTTTCAGCTTCAGAAGCCCTGGTCCAGATGTCAGACAGAAAGTTTTGACAAAATGGGTGATTAAATAGGTGTCCTGTGTTTCTACCAGCCAAAGCAATCCTAACTCTGCTACCTCCATGCTATTATATAGATGTAAAGACTTGGGATGAGAGGGAAGAGAGTGGAATACGTGAGAAAACTAGATGTTCACAGGACTTTTAAGAGGTCTCTCACTGACCCCTCACGTTGACTAGCTCCAAATGAGGGCACTGATAGAACTCACATGCACCGTTGAGATGTAAGAATATTAAGGACCAGAAAAATACCTGAATCCAAAAAGGTCCACTGAATACTAAGGTAAGTTTACTATAAAAAAAGGTCTACATATAGACACACCATACATGAAATGTAGAAAGTGAGAATGTCCAAAGCCCCAAATCAGCAGGGATCACCTTCAAAGTACCGAGGATGAGGATGGCACCATGATGGAGAAATAAAGTGGAAGCCAGGCAGCTTTCCAATAGTAGCGCTATTTATTTATTTATTATTTTGATAGTTTTTTTTGGGAACCAGTGGCATTTGTTTACATGAATAAGTTCTTTAGTAATGATTTTGAGATTCTGGGGTACCTATCAGCCAAGCAGTGTATACTCTCCCCCATATGTAGTCTTTTCTCTCTCACCACCCCTGACCCTTTTCCCCTAGTCCCCAAAGGCCAGTGGATTATTCTTGTGCCTTTGCATCCTCGTAGCTCCCACTATGAGTGAGAACATACAGTGTTTCATTTTCCATTCCTGAGTTACTTCGTTTAGAACAATAGTCTCCAATTCCATCCAGGTTGCTGCGAATGCCAATATTTCATTTCTTCTAAGACTGAGTAGTGTGGAACACTAGCTTCAAAGTGCAGAGCACTTTAACATACAGGTACGTTAAAATTATAAGACCATAGTCAGACTGTTATCCACAGACTCATTGAAATTACTTCTTACGCGTGTCCTTTTTTCAAAAACTAAAAGAATCCCAGAAGCAGAGATGTGTTACAATAAAGAAATGTGTTGGCTGCATTAAATAGTTATAATAATGTTTCAAATAAACTTCATAGTCATTTTGTTTTATATTTAACACAAGTAGGAACAAAAATGCCAGGCAATAACAACTAAGATTAAAGAGAGTTAGTAATGAAGTTAAAATATTCTAAGATCTGATCATGATTAAATTGTGACTTCATTAGAAAATATTAAGTATATGCGTTATCAGAGTAGTTTTTTGGTAATGCAAACTTGATGTCGCTGCACTTATGGTGAAATATTACAGTTGAGCCCCTCTTTCCCCAAGGCTTTCAGCAGAGCAGGAAAATCCTTCTCATATCACTCTTGCCTCCAACACTTACACTCCATCCACTCAAATCTGTGCTCGGTCAATGTGGAAGACCACATGCTGGGACTTCCTGGGATATCCCCATTCAAGGCCACACCTCCATGCCTTTTTGCACGTCATTCTTCCGCTTGCAATGCGCTTTTCCTTGTACCTTGTTTGGGCATGCTTATTCTTCTTTTAATTAATTCAGTCAATATTGAATGTGATGAAGTGCAAGCATCTGGGTATGTGGGTGGAGGTGTGGAAGGGAGGGGGACAGGAGGTGAGAAAACACTGAAGAACACCCATCTGGTTCCTGTCCTGCAGAATCTTACCACAACCAAGTTTGGTTTGGTTTACAATGTTGCTTTGGAGACTTTTCCTTATTTTACTCTCTGACAGCAGAGATGTCTTCCGCTGAGCTCACATACCTCACACTTTGCACTTAAAGTTTCTGTTTTCTGGTTACCTACTTGATACTTCACTAAGCTGCTTCAAGTCAGGGATCATACTTCCCTCATCTCTTTCACCTTATGCTCAGCAATTTTTAACAGCGAAGCTAACCAGCAACCCAAAGAAAAGTACTTGCTTCAAAACCTGCCTCTTTTCTTCTTAGGCGTTTCCACCTAGAGGTTCTAGGGAACAAGCAACCTCACTCATATCTTTCTTTTCCCCTTCAGAGACAAACTTCACTGTTTTTTTTAGATGAGTCTTGCTCTGTTGCCCAGGCTGGAGTGCAATGGCAGGATCTTGGCTCTATGCAACCTCCATCTCCCATGTTCAAGTGATTCTCCTGCCTCAGCCTTCCAAGTGACTGGGATTATAGGCGCCCGCCACCATGTCTGGCCAATTTTTTAATTTTTAGTAGAGATGGGGTTTCACCATGTTGGCCAGACTGGTCTGAAACTCCTGACCTCAGGTGATCCGCCTGCCTCAGCTTCCAAAGTGCTGGGATTACAGGCGTGAATCACTGCACTCAGCCCAGGAAAACTTCAGTGAACATATTTTTGGAGAAGATATTTGCTTCTTTGTCAGGGAGAAATGTTTTATTTTCTCTCTTAGAATAATTCCTGCTCTAAGCCCACTTGAAACATGTAACCTTCATCTATGTGGTGATTTAACTTGTCTTCCTAAAAGACTTGCATTTGAGCCAAATGTAATTAGGTGGCCAAGCAGGAGTGTCTCAGCTGACACCTAGGGCATACTTTTGAAATCTTTGTCATTGTCTGAGATGTGATAGGCTGAGTGTGGCGTTCTTCTGTTTCATCTGCAGCGCGTTTTTCTTCCTCTGCTTTCCCTAGCTGAAGGTTGACTTCCTTTCCCTTCCTCTTCAGATGACTGATGAACTTCGTTTGGTGTCGAATAGCGGAGCTTCTCCTTATTTCTTCATTTGAGGTCAAGGGTCAATTGCCTACATTTTGGTCTGACAGCAACTCACTTAGGACCCATTTTAACTCATGAAGTTGCTGTTTTACTAGTAGCCGATGCCTGTCAGAACTTTTTTCAAAGGGTCAGAAGAAGAACCTCAGCCTGATGGGCAGCAGTGTGGAAAATATGGAATGAAATGGTGTTAGAAAGAGATCAAAGAAGGTGTATTTTGGGAGAATGTAAAAACAATGGTGTCTGGTAGGATTTGAGGAAGAACTGAGGTGACTATATAATATGGAGGTGAATCTTGTAAATTTTTCTAATTTTAAATCTTAAGAAACAGCATGAACTAATCGTTATATTTAAAAAGACGAAGAAAATTACTGTGATTTTGTCCCTGCATCCATAGGGTGCAAAGTTTTATGGCTTTGGGCTCTGTCCTTTCATATTTGACAGAGATAGTGACCACGATCCAGAGCAGGCAAAGCCTGTCACATCTCCTGACAGTAAAGCCACTCCTACCAGCGGGAGAGAGGAAAT